CAAGTTGAATAATTGGGTCATCCACTGCGGCAGAAGCTTGGTGTGCCATGACGAATGAACTATAAATTTGGTTTATTATTTGGGGATCAAATGTGAGAAACAAAAAAGAAAATGAGGGAAAACATAAGCTTGAGGGAGGAAGACATTTTCTTGTTAAGGCATCAAAATTTGGGCACCTGAGATTTAGTTTTGACCTTTTATTTTTTGGATAAGCTTTGTATCCCCCTCATCTTTCAATCTACTTTAATTTCTCTTGGTTTTGAGATGTGAAAAAATAATTGATGAGTTAATGGCGGATTTGGTTTGAACCCAATAGTACCTAAGACTAGTAGTTTTATATTGAGTTTAAAGGTTAAGAATTAGGGTTTGATAGACCCTATCTTTAGATGAGGGTTTTAGAAGTGAATTTAACCCTAAAATGGTATAATTAAGTCTAGTAGGAGTTAAATGAAGCTAATGAAAGATCATGATGACTTTAATTTGTCCAACGATAGAAGTTAATCGTTCAAGAGTGTTGGGTAGCTTAATTAAGCTAAAAAGTGCTTATGCTAGAGTAAAAACTAATTGATGGCTATTTTAATATGTAGAGCATCGTAACTCAAAACCTATTTTAATATGAAAACTATAGGAGCATTGATTTATCATAGGTAACCCTTTTAATGATAAAAATGTTAAGATAACAAGATAATGTATTATGTTTATCCACATGTTGAATTTTTATAAGTCTTTTGAAATAAATACTAGTTATATGTGTGCGTATATATGTAATGTTTTGGAAATCTTTGTAAAGTAGGAAAGAAGTTTTGAAGCTTAAGAATTAAGGTTCGATGAACCCTATCTTTAGATGAGGGTTTTAGATGTGAATTTAACCCTATAATGGTGTAATTAAGTCTAGTGAGAGTTAAATGAAAATAATAAAAGATCATGGCAACTTTAATTTGTCTAATAACAAAACTTGATTAAGAGTGTTAGGTAGCTTAATTAAGCTAAAAAGTGCTTGTGCTAGAGTGAAAACTAATTGATGGGTACTTGATATGTAGAGTATTGTAACTTGAAACTTTTTGAGGTTGTGGAAATTGTAAGAGCGTTGATTTATCACAAGTAATCCTTTTAGTAACAAAAAGGTTGAAGTAACAAGATAATCTATTCTGTTTATCTGCATGTTGGATTGTTTACAAGCCTTTGTGAAATAAATGTTAGTTATATGTGTAATATTTTGGAAATCTTTGTGAAGTAGGAAAGAAGTTTTGAAAGAATAATGTAATATAAATACACATATTTTGTGAAATGAGTTTGTAAATGATGTTATGTGATATTTAATGGTAATAATTGAGAAATGGACATATGTATGAATAAGTAATGATTTATTATTGCATGGTTTGGTATGATTAGTGTGAGAGGGTTTAAGTTTACATTAAGGAGAGTAGATGAAAATCCATATGATACCACATACACCATGTAGTTTCAGTTATTATTCTGGAAGCTCTATTATCAATCAAAAGCGTATCACCGGAGCATTACGACATCCCTAGTATTCATAAAGAGGGAATCTATAGTCCAAAAGTGGTAACAGTGATTTTGGCTAGGTTGCCTTCTATGTTAAGTGAGCTCGGACCAATCTAGTCACATAGACTTGGTCTAATATTGTATTAGCTTATGGATTCAGTCAAAGAGTATTGCAAAGATTGGGGTAGATATCCACAATCATGCATGATATACCTTGTTAATAATTCTTTATTTACTGTGATCACATGTTTTATAATGATCCCACTTTGCATGCTTGTTTACAATTTGACTTGTTAGCAGATAATGTAAATTATTTGGTTATTGAGACTCTCTCTCACCCAGCCATATTTTTTATTTTACAGATGGCAACAATGATAGGAGCAAGGGGCAAGAGCTTGGTAAGGAATAGTTACACTATTGCTTTGTGTATTGCCTTGTTATTTTGTGTAATGTGTAAATGAATATATATTTGAGTATCTTACCAACTAAAATGACATAGCTTTTGAATGTACTTGCATGATGTAAGTGGTTGTTATGTGCTGTATTTTAGCTTAAAATATGTGTTTTGTGATGTATTAGTGATGTGGGGTCAAAAAGCTAGTGTAAATGTATGATAAATAGGATATGACTTGGTTATACTATAAAATAGCCAAAATTAGTGTTAGATGATTAAGGCTATTGGGCCAATATTGATTGAAATTAGGAGTTGTGACTGGCCAAAACTTGTTTGAATTGTATTATTATTTATAGAACTATTCAATAAGGTATTTTCAATCTATTAGACATGATTCAAGCTTTAGTTGAAGTTAATTACAAACGGTTTGGTTTTGAAACACTTGGTTGCACTTTATTTTTGGAAAAATGGTCATTTTGTCCTTGTGTGTCTAACTTTTAAATGAGATGTCATTTCGAAATGAAACTATGGCCATTTGCTAGATAACTGAATAAGCTTATATGACTTGAATTATCTTAATCAAACATTTAATGAAGAAATGATGCATGTTGAAAGTTCATTTCGACATGTTGTCATAACAACAACATGTTGTCATGAAATACATAATGCATCGTGGCACATGTTTGAGTTCAAACACTTTTAAAAAAAGGTTCTACAATGGGATCCCAATTTTAAATATTTAATTATTAATTTAACTCTTTCTATTATGGTAGCTAAAGAGGATTAGTCAATTCCAATAGTGATTATATGTTTTATTCTGTTAATATCAAAGCAAACATTACAGTTATGATATATTAAGATTTATTTTTCAGATTAAGCAATAGAAGTTGTTACAAACTCAAAATCTTAAGTTTGTAGGGGAATGTTATGATATATTATCTATAAAGATATATTTTATTGATATTTTTTCTATTAAGATTTATTTTATTAAGATTTAAGGAATATTTTATTTTCATTAAATATTATTAGAATATTCATTAGCTATTATTACAATGATCTATATATTGTAATTTTTTCATATTAGTATAATACGCTACTTTTTCAAGTCTTTTTTCTTACTCTCTTAATTTCTTTTATAGTATCAGAGCCTTCAGGTTGAAGCTTTATATCAAGCTTATAGAAAAGAAATCATCATCCACACATTCCACCTCAAATTTAGAGTAGTTCGTTTGGTTCAAGCATATAATGCCCCATTATAAATGATAATATTGTGTTGATCATATCATTTTGTTCCTTCCCATACTCAAGCATCTTCCATGTTTCTTTTCATATAGGATTCACATCTCGTGGTTGCACATATGGATGTTTAGATTTAACATGCTTCATAAGCTCTTTGTAAGTGCCTACAAAAGAGCACTCATCCCATTCAAATACTTCCATATTGCTTCAACAACAATTCAACAACAAAGAGGGTAAAGAAGCCCTAGCACCTCTGCATTGTCACTGCTTTCGTCTACATTTAGATTGGAATTATTTGTCATGTTACTCAGAACAATTGGAAAGGGGATGACTTGCAGCACACATATAAGTTTGACAACAATTGTTATAAGATAAAAAAAAAGAGTAGGAATGCACTGTGAGGGACCTCCATATAGACGAAGGTGTTGTCCTCTGACATTGAGAATAGGGTTTCCTTTACACCTTGCCTAGTTTAGTCATTTAGAAAACTAAACCTGAGATTGTGGTAACAAATCTCCAAGATTAAAACTAATTTTGGTTAGGATATAAAGATTAATAGAGTAACATCACCTACTCTTAAGACCTGTTAAGCATGTCTGCAATGTCAAATCTCATGAAAGAAATTGGGAGAGAAAGAAATGAGACTTAAAAAGTATCATACTTTATTGATCATATGGAGATCTTACAATATATAGATCATCATAAAAATAACTAATGAATATCCTTAAAATATCTAATTATGAACACAAAATATTTTCTTAAATTTAATAGAATAAATCTTAATAGATAATAAATTTCAACACAATAAAACATATATAATATATCATAACACTCTCCCTCAAATTCAGGATCTCTTGAGTTTGTAACAACTTATATTGCTTGGATTTGAGAAATAAATCTCAATATATCATGAAATTAAAGAAATGAAGATAGAAAATTGAGGAGAGATGAAGAAGTAAACTATAAAAAAGAGGAGGGCTAGGGCTTTGCTATCTAAAACAAACTTCTAGCCCAAACAAAGTATAAACTTGATCAATCTAATTAGGATACCATGAAAGAAATCAAGAGAGAAAAAATGAGAGTTGAAAAAGTACTGTGTTTTATTGCTATAAAGGGTTTACAATATATCGATTATCCTATTAATGATTAGTGAATATCCTAATAATATCTAATGAATGCAAAATTTTCCTTAAATCTCAATAAAATAAATCCTAACACTCCCACTATCACAAATTGTAAATACTTTTAGATAAAATTATACATATATATAAAGCTCATTAAATATACTTTACAATTTTATTTTTTTAAAAAACAAAAACTTTTAAATAAACTTTCAAAAATACTTTTCATTTAATACTCTATTTATAAAAGAATATTCAAGAGATAAAATATATAAGAAAGATAATATTAAAAAACATCATTAATAAAACCTTATTTTTATCAAAAAAATTTATATTTTAAGATATCAAATTTTTTAAAAAAACATCTCATAATTTAAGATGGGATAAATATCGTGACATCAATTATTCAATTATAATAATATTTAAACCTGGTAAATAAAGACAAGCCGAGCTTTTAAATTAAAAAAAGAGGACAAGCCGAGCTACTGCAAGGTATTTAATAACCAGAGATTCCAATGCGGTTTATCTGGAATTCATGTTCAATCTGATAATTAGCTTAATCTCGTAAAATAATAATAATTTGGCTATCCATATATCACAATTATAATTTATTGAAATTATTAAAAGCATCAAAATGAGTTTAAACTGGTCTTAATTGAATTGAATTCCCTATAAAGGTCGTGCACAAGAATATATATATATATATATATATATATATCTGACATCCAATGAGGAAAATATAGAGGATAGATATATTTTTCTCATTAATGGCAAAAGTTGGTAATAGGTGCCAACAAAACGAAAGGATTACAAAAGGGATTTCTTTCCCATTATACCCACATAAAACATGTCAGTAGACAGCAGTACAGTAGTAAGGAATAAGAACCAAAAAGCAAAAGGCAAAGAGGGAATGAGAAAAAAGCAAAAGCTAAATCCCAACACTTTTGACACCACCACCGCCTTTCTTAGTAGTGTCACCTCATCCATCCATCTGCATCGTCCAATTATCATTCCCAACCTTCCCCACATCATCATTCTCATCCTCAGCATCACCATCTTCCCTCCTCCTCCCCGCATGTTTAAACCCTAAAACCCAGACTCAAACTAATCATATCCAGACAAAACACCCACACGTTACACTGCCCATCAGTTCATATACCAGCAGTGTAATAATCGTTGCTTGTGTTTCCTCGTGATTTGTCTAGTTTGTCCGTGCTTGGCAGAGAGGTAGCTAGCTGGTGTGTTGTAAGTCCCTTCACTTTCATCATTATGCACAGATTCTCATTTCTGCATGCGAGAGAGAGGGAGCTAGAATAGCTATATAGCCCATTCATTCCATGCCAAAAATTGGGGTCTGAAGGAGACTGGGTTTTGCATGGGTTTGGAAGCTGTGCAGGGTAGGCCCAATGATGCTCCAGTTTCCATAACCAGAAGAGCTCTCATAACTAGGGTTACTATTTAAAGCTATGGGCGTGGCCAATGGGATCAATGAACTCGAACTCCCACTCTGTTGCTGCTGAACAAACACGCCTCCACTGAAAAACCCATTGTTATTGTTGTTGTTGTTGTTTCCTTCACTGGTCGTGCTGGAGGGAGTAGAGAGGTCCACGTTGAAGGGAAGGACAGATGTCACGGAACCATTGGTGGAGGAAGATGGTTGGATTAACGAAGGGTTTTTGTTGTACCCGGCGAGAACCGAGGACCAGTATTGATCTGAAGTGTCCTGTTTGATGGGTATGGCGAAGGTGAGAGAGTTGTTATTACAGCCTGAAGGAGGTGGTGGTGGTGGTGGAGGAGGTTGGGATGCGAATGTCACTGAGGAGTTTCCCGAGGAGAGGTCTCGGTCGTCCACGGTGGCGGTGGATCGAGGTCCGACTCCATCGGACGGAGAAGAATCCGTCGAGTTCCTGTTCTTGCCGGACAATCCACCGATCGGAAGGCTGCTGTTGGCAATGCTCTTCACGTCGTAGCGGCTCATGTCAAAGTTGGTCACCGCATTTATTCCTCTGAACTTTATCGCTGCTATATCATACGCCTCCGCTGCTTCCTCCTGAGTGCCTAAAAATATGTTCAAAGTTAGATTTTTTTTTTTTATAGGAAAATTTGTATCCCACATGTCTAAACGAAATTATTAAATGAAATCCATGCGCGCGTGATGTTGGTTTGGTTTAGGTGTATCGGATACACATATCAGATCTAATTTAAAATATATATTAAAAAAGAGAAAAGAACATAGAAATATGGAGGCATGAGAAAGGGCTCACTGAAAGTGCCAAGGTAAAGGTCTTTGTTTCCGGCGACTCTGCCTATTCTTGCCTGCCATCGGCCATGCTGGTGATGTCTGAGACCAAAAAAAAAAAACAAAGAAAATGAGATTAATTTCAACCCCACAATATAATACACACACACACAACAATAACATCTATATGTATATGTATATGTATATGTATATATATATATATATATTTTATTCATTTGAAATCAAAAGATATGGTGGCCGAAAGAGTTGAACTAGACCTCGTCACTCCTCTATATATTGAGGCGCCTCTCGAGAATCCACTACTCCTCCTATAACATACATAAAGAAAAAATACAAAATATACATAACACCCATTAAATAAAATCAAAATTTAAAATGTATATTACACACTCATATTAAAGGCATCAAAAAGATGGACCCTGAAGTGAAATGTAAATTTACCTTCGAAGAGAAGCAACAAACTCTTGCCTTGTCATGTTCTTCATCTCTTCCAGTTCTTTCTGGTAGTTTGAAATCTAACCAAAAATAATAATAATAAATAAATAAATATATTGAATAAGACAAAAACGGTATATTACCCAACAAAAACAGCATTGCGTGATTGAGCTTACCGGAAAGTTGGTGGTGGTGGTCGGACCCCAGTACTTGAGGGCTGCGAGATCATAAGCTCTTGCCGCCTTCTCTTCCTTATCGTAGCCACCTGAAAAATGATCATAATAATAACGCAAGAAGAAACAAAAACCTCTTTTGGCAAAATGATTAGTCTTGAGTAGAATCTGAATCTAACAAAATTAGTAAAGCTTTTTTCACAGTAAAAAACATAATGACGCTCGCTGTTTTAAAATTACTCACCCAAATAGACTGAACCATAATCATAGGAATCACGCGTCGTTCGTCAGTCAGGCCCAACGCAACACAAAAACAAATACCCGTCAGCATCTTCACACTCACAAATTCAAAAAAAAAAACAAAAAGAAAAAGAAAGAAAGAAAAATAGCGACTCGTCTCTACTCAGTGCATAAGATCCTCAAATCTAATGAAATAGAGAGGGTAATCGGAGCCATTGATATGTTTATTGGTATTTGAGAGGGAAGGCACATTCTTTTTCTGATTTACTCCCATTTATTCCGGTCCCGTATTTACAGGGAACCGTGCTTGTCAGACTCGGTATCTCGCAGTCCCAGATCTCGTGAACCCGGTTCGACTCGTATCTATTTCTAAGAAACCCTAGACGATGCGATCGTCAGTCAATTCAAACATTACCTTGTCTTCCTTTCCGACTTTGCCCTTCCCTCCGGCAACTGTTATCCCATAGATGAGCTTCATATCGTCCGGTCCATCTATGCCTGCAGTTCAATTTTATTTTATTTTTACATTTAGTTAAGCAAATAATATCGAGTATCGACATGTATATTTTTTTTTATTTTTTTGATTATTATGGAGTTAATATACGAATCGAATCCTCACCGTGTGACGCCGCGGTATATAGAGGTGCGTTGGCCGAAGGTGTCGACGCTCTTCTTGGGGGACGGCTCAGCCGGAACTAGCTGAGCCTGTTTCTGTTGCTGCTCAGCTTGCCCTCCTCCCGAAGCGAAGCCGCGAAGAAAGCTGGCCGCTATCGTCTTCAGCTCTGAATCGTATAACTCGTTTTCCACCACCGTGCTCAGAGTGTTGTCGGCAGAGAACTGCGGAGGCGCTGGCGCTATTGGGGCAGTGGCAGAGGCGGGGGCGGGGGTGGCTCCGCCGACGCCGCCCAGGAAGTCCTCGAACTTAGGACCCCCGGTGAACATCGAGAGACTAGTTGGTGCTCCTCCGATCGCACCATCCTTGGTTTCGGCCGGCGAGTCGACGGCGTTACCTGAGAAACAGTTTATTGCGGAAAGTTAAGCGAATAATTATTCACAGGATTTAATTATTCGGCTACATAAGATAAAACACATGAGAGAGAGAGAGACCTGTTAGAGATAGAGTGGGTGTAGGGGATGGAGAGGTGAAGGAAGGGAAAAGAGGGAAGTGTGAGGAGGAAGATAAGGGGTTGGAGAGAGAGAAAGCGAGCCAGTTAGGGGAAGAAGAAGAAGAGGAATCCATGGTGGTGGTGTTGGATGTTGTGTATTACGAGAGAATGACTTTGGGAAGTGGGATGAAATGGAGGTATCTCGAATTAGAGAGAGAAGGAGCCTGAGGGAGAGAAGTTGAAGAAGAGAGACTCAGAATTTGACACAGATATAGAGGCGGTCTTAAGAGAGAAGAAGAGAGAGACTCTGTCAAGTTGATGCCTGGTGATAGTTGTACAGAGAACGAGGCCCTCTCTACAGTGGCAATTCCGCAATTCTCTTGTGTAATTATCCACCAAGCCCTTATAATTCGGCAATTCTCTCGTGTAATTCTCCACCAAGCCCTTACAATGGGGACGTTGATGGAGTAACAAGTAAATTTGCCTCCCAATCATACTCACCTCTTAAAATATACTCTCTCTGGTTAAAAATATAAAATATTTTTTATTTTTTAAAATATAATTATTATTTTTTAAAAATATTTTTATTAATAATAATTTTATATTTATTATAAAATATTTAATAAGAATAAATATAAAAAATAAAATTAATTTAAAATAAATAACTACTTTATGAAAAGTAAAATTCAGTTAAAAATATCATATATTTTTTAATAGAAGGAGTATGAGACATTTTTAATTAAAATTTTTTTAATAAAATAATTACTTATTTTAAAATTAATATCACCTTTCTATATTTAAATAATTTAAATAAATGTAATAATTATATTTTAAAATACCAAAAACTACTTACATTTTTTAACATTAAATATCTTAAAAAATGTATTACATTTTTAAATGAAATGAGTGATATATTTCAGATAAAATTATATATTCTAATAAAATTTATTCAATGTATTTATAATTTTATCTTTTAAGATAAAAATATAGTTTATTTGTAAAAAATATTAAACATAAAAATGTAATATTAAAAAATTATTAGTAAAATTTATTTTTATAAAAAATTATTTTAAAATATTAAATCTTCTTATAATTTGGAAAGGATGGAGTATCATACTCCGGCCTCGTCAATTTCTGCTATAGTATATTGTTTTGAGTTGGTGTGTAATCCTAAAAAGTAATGATAATTTTTTACTTATTTAATAATATATTTTCTTGTCTAAAAATGTAAGGCATTTTTTAAGAGGTTAGATATTAAAAAATGTAAAATATTTTTAATATTTTAAGCTAAAATCATTACGTTTTTCCAAAATTATCTCTAATGAAAAAATCACTTTATATTTATTTTAGATTGAAGTATTATATTAAATAATGATAAATATAAAAAGATGGTATTAATTTAAAAAAAACAAGTTACTACTTTATTAGGGATTAAATTTAATTAAAAGTGTCTTATATTTTTTTAATTCTAGTAAATATATTTAAAATGTAAAGTGACTCATATTTTATATTGGAATGAGTAACTTTTTTTATATAACAGGAAGCAAGTTATTATTTAATCCAATTTAAAATATAGGATACTTTTTAAGCTTTAACTATGCATCCTTTTATAAGGATTAAAAATTTACTTAAAAGTAGTTTGAATCAATATTACCCTCCAATCAAAATCAATTTATCTTAAATTATTTTTAATTTTTATATAATTTCTCTAAACAATACAATTGGATCATTTGTGGAAAAAAATTTTGATAACATTAACTTTTTGTGAAGTATCATGCATTTCGAATCAACACTGGTTGATAGAACACGCCATATATATATATATATATATTAAATTGGAGGGAGTATTATTTACTCCTTTTGTTTAAAAATATAAAATATTTTTTAATAAGTTGGATGTTAAAAAATATAAAATATTTTTAGTCTTTCGAGGTGTAATTATTATATTTTTTTTAAAAGTATCCCTATTGATAATGACTTTATATTTATTGTAAAGTGTTTAACAAAAGTAAATATAAAAAGATATAGTTAATTAAAAAGAAGATAATTACTTTATTGAAGGGTGAGGTTCAATTAAAGATACTTTATATTTTTAAATGAAAGGAGTAAGCTATAAGACGTTATCAACATTTTTACATATAATAAAAATGTGTAGGATTACATAGTTATTTTTAGGAATCATGAATTTATCGTTTTTGTAGTCTTCAATTTATTATTCTTTTAAAGGTAAAAAATTATGCTAATTGTTAGAAGGCTTTCTTAAAGGTGAAATTATGTTAAATTAATTAATAACGGAGCATGACACTACATAATTTTAGTAGTTTGCAAAGTATAAAACCAAACGCACTTCATCAACACTATTTCCGCCTTTGAGCTTATGGACATATCGGATGTCCAATGCTAATTAAGAATGTGTGAATATAAATCGAGACAAATTAAAGCTATCATTGACGAATATTTTTATTTATAATACTCAAAATTAAAATTTTGTTTGAGAAACCCAAGCATTCTATTACTCACATTCGAGGTCAAAGTACTAAAGTAGGCAAATAAGGTAATTTAAACATTATTGCAGGTAGATAAATAAATTAAATTTATTAATTAAAAAACTCGCAAGAAATTTCTGAAACTGGGATCAGAAGTGTCATTAATAATGTGGAGTACCTACGTTACATGCAAATTGCCAAACAGAACTGAAACGTGGATGTGTGAATGATTCGAGACAACGGGTCAGTAGGAACGCATGCTTTTGACTAGCATGCAAACGAAATTACTTCCTTTTTACTTTTTTGCAAAAAATATGCCAAGCTAGCCGAGGAGTACACATCTCTAACATAGTAATATAATATTATTTGAACTTACGCAATAAAATATCTGTATACTGTGAAACAAGTGATAAATATCAAGTATAACATTTGACTTTAAAGTTAACTAGATTTCCTTTTATTTATCACCTACCCTGACTTAAATTATAAAATAATTATCTTATTAAAGTGTTTTACAATGTGGAATAGAGGAAGTAGATAATTGTAGCTTGCATATTCCTCCCAGTCCAAAATATAAACATTTTTTTGCAGCTAACTTTATTTCAAAATATTAGCAATACAGTACATGCAATTTTTTTTTCATTTTATCCCTTGTATTTATTAATTTGGATCTTTGTGTAAATATATTTCTCACTTATCATGAAGTGCATTTGTAATTGAAACTAGGAATAAATGATATTCCATTCATCTTAAATTATAAGACATTTTTATAAAAGATTTGACATCTTAAAATATAAAATACTTTAAAAATATTAATATTTTATTAAATAAGTTTATTCTAATATTATCATTTCTCTCTCTATAACTAATTTTTATTCCTTCTCTTTTTAATATATTGAATTATGGACAGTGGTAGAGCCACATGTATTTGAGGGCAGGAATGAAAAAAAATTACTTACATGGAGATGGGGGCATAGGTATTTATTATATTTTGCACCCCCCCTCTTTTTCATATTTTGTACCCCTCTTTTTTATATTTTGCATTTTAAACTCATTTCAAATTAATTTTAAACTTAGATCCAAAATTATTTTTTTAACTCAAAAGCTCGATAAATTTTAACCCACAATTTTAATATACCCAAATATTGATATTATTTTATTAAAAATTAACATTTATTAAACCTTTAGGAAAATAAAAAATAATAATCTGGTCCACCTCGTTTGAAATCTCAAATCAAATTTGCAGAAAAAATAGTTAAAACTAGAAGACATTTTGTCTATCCATTGATTTACCTTCTCTTGAAATTAGCAATGGTATTACCTATTGTTACAACAACAATTAAAAGAGCATTTTCTACTTTGACGTTTGTGAAAAATCAGTTGCAATTGAGTGGAGAATCCATGGATGAATAATTATCTTGTGATTTATATTAAAAAAATATATTTAAAAGTATTTACAATAAGCTAATTGTTGAACGATTCCAAAATATGAAACCACGTAGAAAAAATTCATAACGTATGTAATTATTAAATAATTTTTGCTATTGTTTTTTTTTTCAAATTATGAATATGTAAATGATTTCGCCCTTAGCCCAGGATCTTAGCTCCGCAACTGATTATGGGTATTTTTAGGAGTTAATATTTTTTTTTGAAAAGATAAAATTGTGAAGTGTGTTTAATGAAATTTATTGGTATGTGAAATTTTATCTAAAAATATTTTATAATTTTAAATAATTTTTTAAAAAAATTATTGTATTAAAAGAAGCACAATGTAGTATTTGAGAGAGCCATCAAATTTGATACTCATAGTATGTAAAATAGAGGTGGTGGGTGTATGATTGTGGGGAAGCAAGACGGAATAAGAGGGAACACCATGACCCCATAAGGAGATCATCCCATTCTTCATAACTTTCTCTCTCTCATCCCCCTTTTTCTTTATATGTCTTTGATGCTTTGCCTTTCATTTCATACTCTCTGCTTTTGAGTTGTGAACATCCCATTAATTCTGATCCCTCTTCTCTTTTGCTTTGACTCCTTCAACGTGGCTTTCCCGCCATTTTTCATTCTTCATCTTTCTTCGTTCTTTACAGACCAAATAGATCCATTCTATCTTAAAGTTTGAATCATCCATATTTTTATTTGATCATATCCTACAATGATTCATTCCGTTATGTATTATTATCCTATATGATTTCTTTTGTACTTTTCAATATAAAACACTTTTCAAGAGACTTGGACCTGAAATTTAATTGGAAATACTTTTCAACTACATTTTACCATCTTATTTATAGAAAAACATAAATATAAATTTTTTAAAAACACATTTCATTTAATATAACAGGTAATATTTCTTTTTGATACAAAAATATTTAAGTAAGTTGGGTTTTAAAGGTTTCCTAGAATCCCTGGGCATCAAAAAAAAAAACTTATAAAAATACTCAAAAATCATCTACTAATAAGATCCTTACATCAATTATGGGATTTAATCCCACAATTTTATAAATTATAAGTCAAATCTTTACCAATTAAATTAACCTTTATTGGTTGGGGTGAAGGGTAATATTAAAAAAATTATAATCAATAAAATTAAATCTTATTTTTGTCAAAATGTGCCTTATATTTTTAGGCATCAAATTACTTCTAAAAGTGTCTCATAAATTAAGAAAAAGAAACATTTAATTAAGCAAAATTAACATTCAACCATATTAGCGCAAAGTTAATGAAGTTATATTTTCTAAGTTAATTAAAGAAAGAAAAAAAAAGCAAGCAAGCAAATGTGAGTGGGGCTTTGACTGTGTGAATCTGAGAGATGAGA